TCACATGTGTTTTATGTAAGATTTCTGGCGGCTACAATGTGCTGTGCAATCTGTTTTTTTCTTTTTTTTGTCCTGTTTATATCAGATGTAACCAAATGTAAATGTCCAACATAATGTCATCTTGGACATTTAAGGGATAAAGTGATTTTATTATGTGTCTTAAATGAAATGTTTGTTTTTTAATAGTAACTCATCAGCTTTCATTAGCTACAGGTGTTGGTGCCCAGTGGCTCTCAAACTTTATTAGTTGCTTATCCTATCATTGTTAATGTCTGACAAAGATTGTGGGGTGTAGGGCCTGAACTTTCTTTGAGGGCACACCAGAAAAAGTTCGAGAAGTAGCCACTTACAAGCGTCATAATTGTTTTATAATCTCTATAGCACCTTTTTAACAAGCAAACCTGTCTCCTATGATTTACTTGCATTATAGGTGTATAGAAAGTAATGTAATATATCTTTCTTAAACAGCCACAGGGTTTTTTGTCCAAGCATACATTAACTATACTTGCAATAATCAGATTCATTGGAACAATCAATCAATTGCTAGCTGGCCAAGCAGCTGGTTTGGTTCACTGGCTGGTTCCTCCACAAGTAGATCTCTATGTGTTTAGCAACGATAGCTAATTTCTGTGTTTACCTTTGTTTGCAGTATAAGAGTGAGATAAGGTGTTTAAAATGGTTTACAGCATGAAATATTTAAGTCTATTTCGAAAGGTTTAAGAAGCTCATGCTGCTTTCCCTGATAGCCATTTTGCCAGAACTGCATTTCTCAAATCATTACAACAAAGGCAGAAGTTACAAAGTTAGTATGAACCATAGTCACAATTCTGACCATAAAACAGAGCCAGCATTTGAGTTATAACTATAGTTTGAACAGTAAAGTAATGCATACTTTAAAACACATCAGTACGTCAGGTTTGTTATTTCAGATGTGGCATCTAATGTTAATGAAGACTTGGCTTGGTGACATGTTGGTGGTTGCACACTTGCTCTTTATTTACAGGCTCATAAAAATATGATGAAAGCCGCCAATCGCTGACAGACTGATTGACAGGTGCATGTGGAGTGTGTGTGTGCGTGTGTGTATATGTTTAATAGCTATGTTTCCGAAGTGATGAGCTCAATAGACCACCAATAAAAAAATGACTACAGTGTGTGAATCACTATAAAATTAGCACATACACACTTTATGTACGTATATTCTAACACCAACAAAACACAACATTTTATAATTCATTCCCTTTGGAGAATCAATACTGATCATTACTGTCTGATCACTGGGACTCCATTATCATAATGGGGAGTCAGTCTCCTATTTGAAAGAACGATTAACGATTGACTCTGACCTAAAAAAGACGTGAACCCCTTCCAAAAGTCTCTTTCTTGCCAATCAGCCACTCGTGCCTCACACTCACACTCACACACACACACACACTGTCTGCCAGCTCTCTTCTCTGAGCCCCTGATGTGGATGCCAAACAGCATGTGATGGCTGATATCTCCCTCTCTCATTTGAATCAGAACAATTGCTACATTTTTTTTTAGCTCTCCAGTGATTCTGCATAAAAACTGGGGCAGAGTGTAACCACAGAAATCCCGGGCTGTTATAACTGAGCTCCCACTAAAATATGTATTTTTTCCCCGCAACAAATTAATCTAATGCAAATGTGTTGAGACAGAGTATTTAAACTATTCCTTGCCCAATTTGTCGTTATGCAGGTATTGAAATGTAATTAATTAGTTCTGCCTTACTAGATCAAGGGACCTGTATTTAATTTTCTGCATACACAGCTCATGTTTGTGCCTCCTTGGGATATTCTTGCTTGTACTTGCAGTGGTGTTACAAATATAACACACAAAGTTAACACTTTATATCAATATGAAAAGCATTTTCCCTATAAGAATATGCAAGTGAAGAAACATGATTGGTTGAAACGATGACAGCCAACAGTATCACTGCCCCTCTCTAACCAGGTATTGGTTTTATATTTCCTCACACCCTTGGCACCAGAGACAAAGGTGTGGCAACATGATACTGTTGCATGGAGAACAAAAACACATGTTCCAGTGGAGCATGATGGATGAAGCATGGGGAAGCTGCCAAGAGGTTTGATTCACACGACAGCCACCCTTTTGCATGTGGTAAAAGTATACATCCCTCGATAAAGTAAATGTTGTAATAATAAGCCAAATATTAGCATTTTGTTTTCTCTTCTCGGTTCATCTTTTAACACTTTTTAGATGATAAAAAAAATGATGCGATAAACAGAGGAGCCTCAGGACAGCAATGAAATGTAGTGTCGATTGTCAGTATATTTTTTGCAGTCAGTGTAATATAATGTTATCAGCCTCACTTTGCTCGCACCCTTCAGCATTAAGCTGGTTTAGATGTTCAATGATAATAACAATGGGATTTAGTAGAGAATTTAGGCCAACACACTGGTGTTAAACAGGAGCAGGACAGTCCCTGAGGGCTGGAGACTGATCACTGGCATAATTATTGCTGCCATAGACTCAGATGGCACAGAAAGAGCTTCCTCATTCAAGTAAACAGCATGCAGCTATTATTGTATACAGTGCACAGTAGTAGTGAGAGATTACAATGTGGGCACAAACTTCAGTCGTCTAATTTTTTTAAAATCCCCCCCACCCAAAAAAAATAGGGTTTATCTTATACTATGCTGCTCTACTTGTTCTGTTTCTATCATGCTGTGCACACTGGATAATTATCAGACATAAGCAATCATTATATAGGGATTCACTCACTGAAAGTGTGTGTGGGGGTGGTGGGGGCAAAATGAGACAGAAAAAGATGGCTAATTAGTCTCAGGGAACATGAAGCCAATGGAAAAAGTTCAGAATGAAAAATACGTGAAATACTGACAGTTACGGGGAAAGTGAGCAATAAAAGTATAAAAACAAAAGCTTCATGAGGCAAGATTCCCATACTCACTGCTATAACCACCAACTGTACCCACCAAAACCGTCCTCTCCCTGCGCTCTCCTCTTCCCTCGTTGGTATTCTTAGTGTGACTCACCTTGCTGAGTGGCTCAAAGGAGAGTGTGACTGTTCCCAACACTGGAGGCCAAAATACAAGAGCGAAAAAGTGACACAACTGTAAAATTAATAATGATTTTTTTTTTTTTTGCAAAACAGAGCTTTAAATGGTACTCTATGTGGTATGTGTGTGCATGTATGGAGTTCTTTTGTATGGATGTGTATATGCCTCTAGTGTCTATAAATACACCATAAACACACTCTGGTGTTGCATAAGCTCAGCTGACATTCCTGCTGCCAGGCAGGATCAGTTTTTCCACCCATCCAGCCGGACAATGGACACAGCTGCCCCGCTGCCAACCTCACTCACTAATTCGATGAGTGTCCAAGTACATGCTTGTTTTTTTGCATTAATATAATCAGTTTCTGCCACAGGTGCAACCTGTAAGGTCACTGTTGTCACTCTGAAAAAATGAAAAGAAGGTAAATGTACTTGAGGTACATTCTGCTTACATTATTCAATTCTAATTTTTGTCATGTGTTTTTTTAATCTTCAAGTTCAAAAACAAAAGCATCTCCCAGGATAATAAAATGAAACAAACCAAAAACAATAAAACTGAAATCCATGGCAGTCTTGTCAGGCTATAGATCATCAGAACCAGGTCTACAAATATACACATGTTTTGGGTTGGATCCAAAGTTAAAAAAAGGATGGCCAAGCGCTACCGTGAAGCCTACAGAGAACTTGATCCTGACACATTAAGGAAACAAATTAAACTTGGGGATATATAAGAACAAAAGAATCATAAACAGCACATTTTCCCCGTAATTGCTACAGACATAATTAATAACTTAGTATTCATATTTCATTAACCATTAAAAGTGGGCTTTGTTTATGTGTGCATGGTGTATTTGGACACATCTGCATTTGATTTTGGCATGACAATTTCCAAAATGATTCTTCTAAATACCAAGATGAATGAAATAAAACAGTTCCAAGTTCAACATCTTGTGTGTTGTGTGTGTGTGTTTGTGGTGTTGTGTGTGGTGGTGTGTGGGGTGTGTGGTTTGTTGTGGTTGTAGAAATAAGTAATAGTGTGGTGTGTCTAAACTCAAAATGTCCTGATATGGTATAATGTCATTCACTCATGATTCCCAACAACCACTGGAGGACATACGTATTCATTGACACTCTCAAGAGGAAGGCCAAGAGGTGAGGCATTATACAGTTGTGTGGTGGTGTGTGTGGTGGTGAGAGAGATGACGTGAGGAAGAGAGAGAGAAGGAGGGGAGAATATAAGAAAACGGACCAGAGAAGATGTATAGTATATTTGTGTCATTCATTACGAGAACACTGCCCTCCATAACTCGGACGCAATTGTGCATAACATGCTGTTTGGCGTTGTGCATGTGTTGTGTTGAGAAGTGTTGTTTAATTGAGGTTTTGTTATGGCAAAACTCCCAGAGTAATTTGTTTAGAGAGAAACATAGAGAGAGGAAGGCAGGGTACGAAGTGAAAAGACAAAAGAGATGAATAAGATTAAAAGGAAAAT